GTGTTTGTCTTTTATATTCCATTTTTCTTTTGAAATCTCCCAGAATATAATTGATTTTCGTTAATCCGTCACATTTTGCATTTATTTTTGTAAAACTGATTATTATTACAATTTCTGATAAATCTTCATCATATATTGTACATGATGCTGTGGTTGAGGGATTCAGTATCGTTGGTAAGGCACTTTGAATATCTGTTTTTGCGGACGCTTTCACGCCCACTACACAAAACTTCAGTCATGGAATTTGTTGAAGGAATTTGTGACTGTCACAAATAAACCTGCGCTTCAATTTCATAGCTGTAAACCAAGCCAGTTAGATTCATGTGATAATGCACATTGTTCATTTTGATGTAAGACTTGAGAACAAGTTTGTTAGCACTTAATGAATCCTACTGTATCACAGTTATGCATAATTATCACTGTGTTCGTGGGATTTTTTACAATTAAGGCATGTGCCTTCTAAATTTTTAAAATTAAAGCTGCCAGTCTTCGACTAATTTGTTTTTTCGGAAATTACTGGTCGTGTCTTTCTAGTAGAAGTGCTCCCATTTTGCTGATTGGGGAACAAGAATCTGCGATGAACCGGTTGTGAAGACGAGTGGTTCAATTTCCCTCCTGATCCATACCACTTGCAAAAGAGTGACCCACCTAGGCCAGGAATTAAAGGATTAAAAACAATTAAAATCATATGCTCCTGGTTAAATGCTGGTTTCTAGAATCATACGCCCCTGACTAAATGTATGCTGACAGTGAAGTAGATATTTTGTGTGTCCAAATAGCCCCAACTTTTCTTGTTTTGTGCGTTTTTGCAAATAATACAAATGCAGAAAAGAATATTGATAAGAAGCTGTATCTTTGTGTCTGTGATGTTCGCGCTTTTTGACACCCAATTTTAATTCGATAACCAGGAAATTTTAAAAAGTGAAACTTTGGAGCATGTGCCAACCAGACGTGCTACCCTTCCATTTTTACGCGTTTTTGCTGTGCAGCGCTATAGCGCTGCTACAGCCAGCAAAAACGCATATTGTC